CCTCCATGCTAGGCCACAAGGGTTCCTTCTCCTCTATCTCACGCCGAAAGCGAGGCCTGGCACAGCTCTTCTCCTCCTCCCATTTCAAAGCAGTTGTTCTTGCATTCCACATGCCACCCCCACCCCCCAACTGCCTCCACCGCACTAAGGCCTTATGGAGCTTTTCTTCTACCCACCCCCAAATTTAAGGCCTCGAGAAACATTCCTCCCACCTCCCCAGCAAGGCGTTGGGGACCTCGTCTACCTTCACCCCCTAAAAAAGTGAGGCCTCGTGCATCTCTTCTTCCTCCCTAATGGAGGCCTTGAGAATCTCTTCTTTTAATCTCCTTCTCCCTCCAGAGGTGAGGCCTTGAGGACCTCATCCCTTTTTCTCTCCTTCCAAGCACCCTCCATCCTTAACACTGAATTCTGGAGGACCTCTTCCCCCCCTCCCCTCAAAAGAGCCTTCAAAGAGCTTCCCCCTCCCCAAATTATGCACCCCTCTGCCACCCTTGCAAACCCAAGCTCTCCACAACCCCCTTAACTCCCACCTTTTCTGATGCCTCCACCCCTGCTGAGCTCTGCTCCCCCTTCTGCCCATCCTTCCACCAAATAGCCCCCTCTCTCCTTAGGGAGCACAGAGACTGCTATCCCCACCTCCTGCGGGAGCCCCTGCCCACATGTGACTGTGGTCTCAGTGCTGTGGGCCATCTTCCTGGCATGTCCCACCACGTGCCACCATCTTCTTCTGGTTCTGCTCTGGGTATCTGTTTCGCTTCTGAGCCCCATGCTGGGTGCTTTCCCCTCTCCCACAAATTACTGCTGGTATCTTTGTGTCTGTCTTTCCTGCCTTCTATGCCACATTAGCTGCAGCATCTCAGCTCTGTTCTCACTCCCCTTTTCCTGGCTTCTGTGATCCAACTCCTTTAACACTGCTGCTCACCCTTGGCCTGGCTCATGTGCACCCCTCCTCTCTTTGCCATTTCACATATGGGGAGTGCTGCAGTCTCAGCTCTGCAGCTCCTCTCTCCCCAGAACTCCAGCCATGCAGTTGCTCAATCCCATCTTGCTGTTACTAGTTGTAACTCGTTTAATCTCATTATTCCTGCAGTAACCTCTGCAGTTTGCCTCTTGCATAGCTTCTGTTTTGCACTGGCCCACTCTGGTCTTGTTGGCTCTCCTGGTATTTGTCTTTTTATTTGATGATTTTATATCATTCTTGTTTCTGTAATTGTCTGCTTTCTTTATGATCCTTCCCTCCTTCAGATTCCTGAAATTCCTACAAACAATTTGCACAAGTTCCCTCCATTTCATTCTTGTGTCCTTTGAGTTTGTAGCCCTAGCTTGTGCCCTGGTGCATTTTTTTTCATTAACTCATGTGATGGAGGAGCCACACTTGAGTAGCTTTTCCCTTCTTTAAGGTAATCTTGAATAAGGCTACATGTGATACACACATCTCTGTATTGAAGCTGCTGTGACCCCTGCCCACATATGAAATGAGTGTGCATTTGACGTGGCTCAGTAGGACAGGAGATGCCTCAAGCCTCTTCACCTACAGAATTATTTAGACTGCACTGATGGTTATGTGAGCAGAGAAGAACTTGCATAGTTGATAAAACAAAATTTGAGAGCTAACTAATAAGAAGGAGTTTGAGTTAGGAGGTTGTTAATTTTTCTATGCAGACATTAATTAAATGAGTGACTGTCAAAGAGAGGGCTGCAGTCCTGGGAAGGATAATGGGACTCGGGAGAATGGTGTGGGAGATGCAAATGTGATTGCAGGCACCAGTAACTTATGGCACACTTAAACTGATTTTAGTACTAAAGCTTTATTGCAAATTCTGTCACTTTGTTATATTTGAACCTTCATTGTGAGGACACCAGCTGAAGACAGGCTCTAAAATGTTCAAAACGCCCCTCACAGCACGTGATGGAGAAAAATTTGGTGCAAGGTGACCAGAGAAGTAACCAGGCTATTTATTGTCTTAAATAACAGTCTGCTGTCTCTGCTTTGGAAGCCTAACTTCTACTATTATCCGCAGGGCATGTGCAGGTTTTAAAAAAACAAAAACAAAACCTGAAACTTGAGTCCCTGTAGGTGTTAGATCAGTGTATTTATTTGTAAGCCTGGTGATCTGGTGGTGGCATTGTCCTTGTACTTGAGAGCACACAGAGCATAGGAGGCTACAG